CGATGGACAGTGCATGTGGTAGGAATTTGTACATGGGGGAGATCGCCCATTCAATTGTATAACCGATAGCTCCAAAATCTGTGATGCGCAGGCGCCATTCCACCATTATTAGAAAGTCGTGTGTTTTTGTTATCTTTATTTGGCAGTTTATTTAGAATAAACCCTCGGTTGCTAGTCAGCGCTCGTATCGTCCACTTCTTTCCTCTGTCCGTTAACATTCGCGCTGTTTCAAGATGAACCCATATCAACCAGCCCAGTTATCGTGTCTCTTATTCGTAAGATCCCACCAGCCTCTGAGTACGTCACTTTTGCCGATGGCAGAGATAGAAATAAACGCCGACGGTATTCAATTCCTTAACTTGAACCCCAACAAAGTCACCGATCCTGACGGAATTCTCTACTGTGTCTTGGACGAATGTGCTGACGCTGTTTCATTTCTTTCTTCTTATTTTTTTTTATTTAAAATAACTCGTTATCCCTTTTAAAGCCGTCGTCATATTGGAAGACAGCCACCGTCGGGCAATGTGCGTGCATAAAAACTGTTCCAAGGGCAAATTGGATAACTATACCGACCAATCCCTGTCGCGATGCCTGCCAGTTCGAAACAGTTGAAGCACGTAATATACAGCAGTTTATAAAAAATAGATTAACGTAACCAACTTCTTTCCTCTCTCCCAGCATAGGTTTAGATCCGACTTTTCATGCGAAACAAAGTTATAATAATTGTTTTCACGATGTGGCGTCCTCGTGCGTATTCCTTGATTTCGGATAGGCATTTGATTCGGTCTCATATGATTTGATTTTACTTAAACTATCTACCTCCAATATCCCCGAAATGTTTTACTATGGTTCAAAACTTAAGAGTAATGTATAAAAACAGTGTGTTGTAATAAAAGGTAAACATACTACATATGCGAATGTCAGTTCAGCGGTCCTGCGAGGATCTGTTCGAGGTCCCCTTTTATTCCTCATTTTCATAAATGAAATCGCCGAGGGCATAGAGTCAAAAATTCGTATTTATGCCGAAAACTGCGTAGTGTATCGAACAGTTCGAAATCCTACAGATAGCAGTGCCTTGCAACAATATATAGATTGTAATTCAAACTGGTGCGAAAGATGGCGCATGACACTAAACATTGCTATATGTTATTAGGTGCGTTTCACAAAAAAAAAAAAAGGTATTGTTCTTTCTTTTTTTTTTTAATACAGCCTTAATTGCACTACACTGACTGTTCCTCCACAGATAAAGTGTTTTTGAGCACATTTTTTTCAACAGTTAATCATGGCAGTCTCATATAACTAGTACTACCGCCAACCTAACTGGTCTGTTATATTTCTTAATGCATGACTTCAAACATTGTCCTCCCAAAATTGACTTTATATTTTACAAACATGAAGCCAATTCTTGAATATCCGTGTGTTTTATGGGATCCCCAAAAAGAGTATATCTGTGATGACTTTGAAAAAGTTTTAAACAGGGCGGCAAGATATGTTCGTGGCAATTGCGATTTTTCTGCTAGCTCCAGTGCCTTTAAGAAGTCACTTGGATGTCGTATACGTTCAGTTTGCACCTAAAGCTCTTTTATAATATTTACAGTAACAAAACGGGTATAAAAGCGAAAGGTTCCTTCAGTCTTTCATTTCATCTCACGCGGCTTAAACCACCAAAAAAAGGACCGAAAATATTTTTTGCAGGACTAGCATTTTCAAAAACACTCCTTTTTCCCCTCTTACTGCTCATTAGTGGAACCGCTTACCTGGACCTCGTGTCATAATTCAACCGAAGTTTTTTTTTTTTTTTTTTTTTTTTCTGTAGAGTTATTGAAGACTGGTTGCATCCTATTGATTGAGAATATTGAATATGTGTGTGTGTGTGTGTGTGTGTGTGAGTGTGTAGCATTGTATAAGGATCTTTTTTTTTTATGGTTCTCAGAATGTGTACTATTTTCTGCTTAATCTTTATGTGTGTGTATATTTGTTTTGATTATGTATACCCCCATTTTCTGGGACGCCTTCGGGCGCTGAAGGCTACCTCGAATGAATAGATAAATATAGATAAATAAATAAGAACATGAACGGAAATGTATGCTACAGAAAGTACCCGGTCAGCAGCAAGGCCACCCCAATGGGTGCGACGTCAATGCAATGCAAGGCATTCAGTGGCGTCGGAACGCGCTAAAAGTCGCGGTCTGCAGGTCTCCGACCATGGTAGAGTGACGTTCGGTGCGGTCTGTTATGTAAGCTTGTACACCACTCCATTTTCATTTCGCAGTAAAGATTCGCGAGATTCTAGGACATGGTCGTCCAAGACGGTATTCCTACTTGTGCAATTGCGGACAACGTATGTCAGAACGAGCCGCCGCGCAACGTCCTGTTTGTCGCTATATCGCTCCATATATTGCACTAATAGCTGTCACGTAGGCCACAGTAGCCTACACACCAACAGTTTTTACACCCTTAAAGGTGTACTCCGCCGATTTCTTCATGGTCCCCGATTTGCTTTAAATTTTGCTAAACTCGCCAAAGAACATCGCCAAAATAGTATCCCAAATATTAGGTCAAAATAATTTTTTTTCACGAAGTTATTGAATTTACAATTTCGGTCCTCACCGTGTTTTTCAAACTGAAAGTCTCTACTGGCAACAATGAAAAAGTGACGTCATTGGAAGTGCAGGGGTTCACTCTTTGGACTGTAGAATTTGTTCCCAACTGATTTGAAGCAGTTTCATGGTGTCAAATGAATGCCTTGGAAGCTCGCTCAAGTCCCCGCGCTCCAGCACGGAACAAATAATTGGCATATTCTATTTTTTAGACTACTCGCCCGACTGGCAAGCTGAACTTCCACTGACGTCACGGCCCTGAAAAGGGCGGGTATATTTGAATGTCTGTTTTTGCATCATTTTCATTTGCCGATTTCGCAATAACTATTATGAATTTCACGATATTAAATAGCATTCCAGAAAGGGTAAAGGCCTGGGAGTCAGAAAATATAGTTAGTTGAGGTAGCTCAAAAATCGGCGGAGTACACCTTTAAGGGTGGAACAAGCTGATTCACGCCCCTCGGGGCACGAATCAGCTAAAAATAGGGTGCTAGCGATCCTAACAGTGTCCTAGAAGTAGATTTGTGCAGTACTCTTTTGATTACTTTTTTGAGTAATTTTATAATCATTTGATTACATTGATTCGGGAGTAATCACAACAGCAATCTGATTACTTTTGAAAGTACTAAAATTACTTGTAACCCTTTCCTTCAAATAAATCTAAGAAAGGAGGACGGTTTACGAAAATTGGTAAACCACGCAAGACAACCTCACCAAATTTGAAGGATATATACGAGTACTTTGCTTTGGTCTCGTTCAATGATTTTAACAAAACACGTAATACTTCCAAGTTCAAGGATATGCAAGTACCTCTGAGTCAAAATCATTGTTACATAGACAATAATTATCCAGTGTCTTCGCTAAAACGACATTCCCTACGACTATGGTGTCACCTGCCCGCACCGCACTCCAACACCTTCTTTTACACCCTTTAACGAACCAAGAATATTCCAAGAAACAGCACCCAATACAGAGGCCCTACTCCATGATTATAAATGGTGTTTTACTCAAAATAAGGGTACTGAAAGGGTGTAGCCATGAGTGTAGGTATGGGAAACATCCTTTCCACGGATTATAATTCACAGTGCTGAATTATAATCCGTCATACAAAAGGCATTCTGCAGTCAGTAGCGGAAGCGTGCTATACTCGCTTGTAGGAAGGTTATATTGGTCATACGAAAACTTCCTGCAGAGATATTCTAAGTATGCATATGTATGGAGCTTTCTCATCTACAGCTGAGACACCGGACGCCCATTGAGCTGATTAACTTCCGGCCGTGTGAAAGTACACGCAACATTATTATTATTAAAGGGCCGGTGCAACGATATTCAATTGGAATGTTTTTCACTTTACGCGAGCTTACTGGCACTAGTGGGACTCAAGGATACTCGCACGCAACGCCACTGACCAAGACATTCTTTTATTGCGCTGTAATTTCGAGGGCAAAACCGAGTGTTTTCATTGAATCTCTCCTTCGCAAAACCTGGTGCTGGGCGGTAGCAGTACCGCCCAGTGACGATATTTGAATGCGGCTCGTAGATTGAACCCGAGCATAGCGTGGACACTCGATTTGGGCTCGTGATAATCGATAGCTCGAGAAGCATTCCGGTAGTATCCTGTGTCCAATCGCTGCAATGACGAAAACAGCCGAACCATAACAATGTCTGGAATTCAGCGCGTGTCCTGTGCCTTGCCGACCCCAGCGCATGGCTACGATCAACATTGGCGGCATGTAATCGGCTCCAAATCACGTGGCCGCTTGTTCTGGCTGCGAGTTGAGGGGGTGAACGGTGCTCGTTTTTCTTTATTTTTTTCTGCGACTTCGATTGCGTGTGGAGAAAAATGAACGGGTATTTCACAAGTTATTAACATCAGGGATCCGTTCTAAGCGATATTTTCGCAAACTACAAAAATCGTTGCATCGCCCCTTTAATAATATTATTACCAATGAAAATAGTTAATTTGATGGAGATTCGGAACGTTACTATTAGTGCTCTTTTTAGGCGCCTCATGCACTAAATTTTGATAAAGACGTGAAGTCTATGGGCGTAGGAGACTTAAAAGAGTAATTATTGTTCGAAAACGCCGGCTGACGACGATCCCTGGTGTCTGCTCCAAGGCGCAGAAAAATCTTCGATTAAAATTTTAATAGAGAAATTGGTCGGCCATAAGTGTAAATTCTGTTGTTTTTTTTTTTTTTTTGTTTTTTTTTTAGTTTGTTTAGACCTTGTAGGTTAAAATATCCCCATAAATAGACGATCTCGGAATCCACCCGAGTGCCCTTCTCAAGAGTGTAAACATTCCTCACGTGTGCGGCTCGCCTGTTCGAGCTTCCTGCGTGCAGATATGATGTGGCCATTGGCTGATCGGGCGTCGTCCCCCTCCGTCCGGCGTTTCAGTGTCCCTGACGTGCGAGCCCGAGCGGTTCCTGGTCCAGATCAACTTCACGCAGCCGTTCCGGGGCGTGGTGCACGCGGGCCACAAAAAGGGCAAGTGCAAGATCCGCGGCGACGGGTCGCGGGCCTACACGCTGCGCGTGCCGCTCAACGACTGCAGCACCACGCACAACGTGAGTGCTCTCTTTCCTCGCCGCATCGTGTCGACGACACTGCGCGTCAATAAACCGTCTAGGAGCCGGGGTTCGTTCGTTTTACCGATACGTCTTGTGACGTTTCGTCGGCAGCTTCAATCCTGTGACGTCTCCCGGCTCAGGTTAGGTTAGCCTTCGGAGGCACGTTGCAGAAGCATGGCTAACCTTGTCAGTCCTTCCGGTGTACCTTCAGCGGGCAAACTGAAGCCATAGTATCTCTACAAAATCCATCCAGCGAAAACGATCTTGTCCACGAAGCGTCGTGCCGTTTACGAAACGACTCTTCGACAGAACGCCAGTGTCGACGAATCGTGTATCGATTAAAACTTGTTTATAATGCAATTCATGCAAAGGTGCAAGCCAGTTTTATGAACATGTGACTGTTGTTCCAACAGCCACATGTTCCAAAAGTCGGAGAAGTTCACTGCGCAACAGATTTGGCGCCAACATGACGTCGGCGTTCTTTCTTCATTTTTCGCTGCCAGGATGTTGCTAACACTAGAGCTTACCACCCGTGTGCTAACGTCACACGCTGTGCATGCTACGAAATCTACTCGACTTAGCTTACAAGTCTTCGGTGATGCACCTCAATCCGTGACGCACTTTTTACGGGAAGTGAAAACGACATTTGGCGTGTTAATTTGCTAGGTCAGATTAGCACGACGAAAGATTTTCAAGCCAAAACAAAAATAACGATGAGCGGGAAAGTGTTCCACGGCTACCCGATAGATGGCATCACGGTGTTATCTCGTTTAAAGCCCCTCCGAACGCGCAACGTCATGACTTTCATCCTCTTTTTGGGAGCATATTTTTTGCGGCTCGTCCAATTAAGTGGACGCGGAAGGACACACCGTGACAGCGTGCTCTAAGTATACGTGTATGTGTCTGTGTGTCTTTTAGCCTTTAACTGCGCTGCTTCAGTTTAGATCAAGGGCCCTAAACTCGTTAGACAAAAAGTTGGAGCCGAAAGTTCGCGGAGCGCGCCGATTGGGCGCTGGCGACAAAAGCGCCAAGTCTTCGTCGGGATAGTTCAATACGCCTCGCAAGTGGGCTCATTTTCGTCTTCTGCACATGAGAAAGGAAGTAGCGGTGACGTCAGAACGCCGAGTCCTGATTGGCTGATCGCGACCCCCTATTGAGCGTCGTCTGCTCCTTTGCAAAGTCGTCTGCTCGCAACATCGTCTGCGTCTGTCTTACTTTTCCTGCGACTTTCGGAGCGAACTCGACTTGGCCTTTAAGGGAGGGCAGACAAAATAACTCGAGCGGTACGTTGTTTTTGTCTAACAACTAGCAGACGGGCATCAAGGAGGGAAGTCAAAGGACCCACTGGCGAGGTGTCCCGGGGCGCCGAGGTTTGTTTGCTTAGTGTCCGCAAGTTCCCTCCCAAATACTTTTTACCTCCATTCGTGTGCGGCGAGGCCCCTCACTCTATAACGGCGCCGGCGGGTTGGCACAGTTAACGTCGTCTGCTTTACGTCTGCTAGTCAAAGCGATGGCTGCTTTACCTTTCCTGCGTCTGTCGGAGATTCGCCGCTTTTTCACCGGCGAGAGTCACCGTTGCCTCGGGAAACAAGGAGATAACAAGAGGAAGAAATTGACCTCTTAATCTAAAATTGAGGTCAGCGATCAAAGTATAACACGGGAAGGGTTCACAAGGGTCGCGCGGGCATATTCCATTCAGCACGTCAGCCGGTCGTGGGCAGACGGTCGCCGAGTCGCGGAGTGCCTGCTAGGCCTAACTGCCCAGCTCGTTTGGTCGCGTTCGGTGGAATCGTCGCCGTTGGAGCTTTTCCCCGGTGTCTGTGGATCCAGCGTTCTTGTTCGTCGTGCTCTGTTTCAAGTAATTTTTACTTTTTTTTTTGCTGCTTGAAGTCAGGACGCGTGAGAAGCTCACGTAGAAAAATAAACGTCCGTGGGTCGTCGCGACCGCGACGCTGTCGGCCATGCTGACTTGATCGTAAGAAGTGCGTACAGCTTCGGAGCTGTCGTAGGATTTCGCCGTAACCTGCGCAAAACTTACGAAAATTTCGTTTCGTGAATACGAATTTGTTCTTAAGTTTTGTCTTACGCACATTTTTGCCGTAAGATCGTTTCGTGAATCTGGCCTGCACTTCCGAAAGTCGCAGGAAACGTAAGACAGACGCAGACGACGTTGCGAGCAGACGACGTTGCAAAGAAGCAGACGACGCTCAGATAGGGGGGCTCGATCAGCCAATCAGGGCTCGGCGTTCTGACGTCACCGCTACCCCCCTGCGCAAGGAGCAGACGAACTTGCCCTCCGCATAGGTGAGCTCCGTGAAATTCGGCCCCAACTTCGTGTTTGACGAGTTTAGAGCCGCAAGTATGGACCAACTTAACTTTCTGACGTCACGCCGCTGCGGTGGCGCTGCTGTCGGCACTGCGCATGCGCAGATGCTTCGGGCGAATGCGGTTGGAGTGCCCACAGCAGGTGTGGGCAAACGCGGGCCTGTTTTTAAACAGCGTGTTGGTAGGAGGGCTTCCTGACCTTGGAGCGGAGCAGGCGGCGCTACCGTCGGCGCGCAAGTATGAAAGAGCAAAAAATCAATATAAATTAAAAGTGTGCGCGCCAGAGGAGAAGGGGGAAGATGTCGCTACCATTCATCTACCCCATTCACACGACCATGAAGACACCTTTAGCTAAAGGACGGCGATTCAGTTCGCGATCATCCGCACGAGGCGTGTGTTCGCGACCCAAAAGCACGGGCTGATTCGCCGATCACAAAAGGACCTATATTAGAGGGACGTTTATGCTGACCATGTGAATGGGGTATAATACCCCATCCACACGTTCAGCATAAACGCCCCTTCGACATAGGTCCCTTTGCAATCGCCGGCATTGCATCTCGTTCGCTTAGGCGTTAGGCTTTACTGTACCAACAGGGCAACCGCTACAACTTGATGACGCACAGAGAGAGAAAAAAAGGCTGACAACCTTGTTACGAAGTCCAACGCGACCCCGAGGGGCCTGCACAGGCTTACTGTAGGGGCTACCAGAAGACGACTTGAAGACTAGTGGAATAAGATTCGCCACACGAGTCGTTAAGACTCATAGGGTCCCAGGCTTGGGCACGAACCCTGTTCGAGCCCGCCCGTTTCAAAGGGGAAAGGGCCCCCAGTTCATCATCATCATCACCGTCATCGTCGTCATCGACGATGACGGTGATGATGATGGCACACGGTGAGAAGACTGGCACACGGTCCTAAATAGTCGCGGGTGTGTAAACCAGCCTTTAAAGGCCCGTTCACACACTTGCGAATGCTTAGAACCGTCTGTCTTAAAATTACTTAAAATCTCTCACGACGAGAGTCTTACAGTGACAATTGCTTGCCCCCATCAGCAGACTCCCCACTCATAATAGGGAAAGAGCGTGCATCTATCTGTATTACGGATCATGAGCCCTTTGCCACTAAACGCTATTTTTACCTACAAATTTTTTATTTTTTTTCTATGCGCAGGACGCCACCGGCAGCTTCACGAACAGCCTGACCATCCGCTTCCACCCGTCACTCGAGCTCGAGGGAGACGAAATCAAGACTCTAGTCTGCAAGTTCACCACGGGAGAAGTGAACCTCGGTTGAAATCGGAGGACCAAGATTCCAGCAGCCGTCACGGCTCATGTTTCGTTCTGCATTCATGAGCCGTGCTACTCTGCCTGTCCGCCAACGGAAGGTCGTCGGTTTTCTATAGAATGGTCCAAAGCCTGCGAGAGAGTGCGGCTATTAGTACCACTGCCGAACTATGATCAATTTGAACTGTGGTGGGCTTTGCTTTCCACAGGAACAGCTTCAGCCAAAACCGCTAAAAATTGTGTTGTAGGTCTACGACATCTCATGCTCAGAAGTCTTTCAAGTCTTACATAATATGTTCGAACCTCGTGACTTCATGCTATGTTAGGAATCCCTGGCCCCAAACTTTTTTCTGTTTAAATTAAAAAAAGAAGCCAATAAATATAGGTCGACGACGAAAGTGTACGAAAACGGTTAAAACCGGCGAAAGTCGGATTGCGGACAGATGATAGTCGGGGCTAATTATTATCTTCACAGAAGCGAATATCATTCAGTAATGTCCTTGCTCCCTTCAGCATTGTTGTCGCGGTAACGTCTTCACCGACATTTACTATGAGAAATCTCATCGTCCAACCCTACGTTTGTAACGCTCAGAAAGGAAAAGTTGACAGGGAATATATAACAATAACAGAGCACAACAGATAATTCATATTTCTAAAAAAAAGAAAAAATAAGCATCAGCAGAATTAAGCCTAAAATAACCACTAGGTATCTGCGGCCTGTAAATAGCTATACGCTTCAACCTTTAAGCTCATAAGCATGGATAAAGCTGCCTACCACTTTTTGTTGTTAAATTTTAGAGCATTCCATTAATCGCCTTCCCCTGGCTGCCATCTATGCCTACTGGGCTGTGGAACGCATTTTAGGCTTTCGCAGTAGTTCTTCAAAAATATCAGACACCACGCAATCATGGCCCCTCAGTGACTCAGCATTTCTCCTCGGGGTGTCAAAGCGCTAGAAAGGTGTATAGTATCGTGATCATAAGTCAGGTGGGTTATTATTACGCGAGAACTCCTATCCAAGAAAACCGTATATTAATTTCTAACAAAAACTTAACTACAACTCAGCCATAAGAGGAACCCTAAAGCCGCCATCACACTGCTCCGATAAATCATATAGAAGAGACACGGTGTATTTCCGCGGACATGATGAGAGAATTATTTGCGGGCACGACCTTATTTTGTCTGATATACGAGCAGCGTGAACGCTGCTTTAAGATCGCGTCTCCTGCGTTTGCTAGTCCCGAACACACCGTTCGTCCGATGAAACGCTCGCACGGAAGCAACGAAAAGTCTCGTCCCAACTTATGCCGAAAACGATCGACGGAACAGGTCGGTGACGGACTGAGTCGCCGCAAGAAAAAAAAAGAAAGCGGCGGGTCACGAAGTGACGCAAAAACAACGTTGTCTGTGATGATTATAGGAACGCAATGTCGCGTTCTCCTTTTCCGCGCGCTTGAATCCGATTTCTTCTCCCTTCCCTTCAATATACGCGAGGCCAACTGGTTTGGCCAGCCGCGTTATTTATTTGCCGTATACCGTTCCGAGTCTGAGTTTTATTGTTTTGTCTTTTCCACGCTGTTCTTGCGTTTGTAGACCAGCGTGTCACCAGGTGCACATTGACGAGGAATAAAGTGTCGTGCGGAGAGAAAAATGTCGGTCGCAGAGTTATTTCTTTTCGCCCTCTCACACCCGCGCTGACGGACGTCATATCTTTCTCTCTCATTAATTATTAGACTTGTTGCTCGTGTTGGTTGCTTTGTTGGGTGGTTGTTTTCAAGTCATCGTGCCATCTGGGTTAGCGGGTAACCGAGTCGTTACTATTCGTTGCGCAAGGCCGCGCCGTGCACTTTGCGAAAAAGGATACGAGAATGGCAGCGAGAAATTTTTCAGTTGTCCCCCGGCCGACTCCAGTGCGAGTTTCCTGCCTTCGATAACGCTTCGGCGTCTCGGGAGCTTCGAGCGTGCACGCGCCGCCGAAGCATGATGGAGGGCGACGAGTTGGTGCAGCATAAAAAAGAGCCTGTGAGTGACCATGATAGTATCCTAATTTATTTTTGTATTTCGATCAAGCAAAGAAACGATGCACTTGGATAAGTACGTACAGTAAAAGTACATTAGAATTTAAAAAATAGCATACCCATTTTTTTATTATTTTCTGCAGCTTGGTGGCCAGAGTCTGTATAACAATGGCAGAGCTTGCACGCGTGTGCAGCGCGCGACTCGAACAAAAAAGCACACTAGAAGCATATTAAAAGTAAGCTTCAAATGTTGAAAACATTTGTTTTATTCGAGTACAAAATTAGTATTGCGTCTTGTCAAGGATATCACATATAAATAAGTATGTGGACACACAATGACCAATACCGCGGCGATTTTTCTCGGAAGAAATTTCGCTTTCATTTTGTGCCAAACATAGCTGTTCGCATTTGACAGCAAAGATCAAGATCACGGTAAGGGAACACTGAACTTGATACTGGAAGCTTAGCTCGCCAGGATTTTCCGATCTCTCTTTCGTAACGTCAAGGAGAGGTCGTACAACAACGCTGAAAGCAAAAAGACATCTACAACTCCGCAATGTGTTGATACGGGGTGCGTTCGCATTAAAGCAGCACGGCCTATAATAGTGTGCTAACCGGTCTTACCTCGGAGTCGGTCAGGTTGACAATCGAGTTCGGATCGGGCGGGACCTTCGCCCGAAAAGCCGAACGCGCCGTTCGAAGGACATCGCCTCAATGCTGGTTTGGGGCCGAGATCGGCGCGATATATGCCGACGCGGTCCGATTAAGTCGCTCTTGCCGTCTGTTTTTATTAAGCTATAGCCTATAGCTTGATTCAAACAGACAGCGAAAGCGATAGTAACATATAGCCTATAAGTTACTGCAACTACGATGCCTGCAACATGTCTTCGACTGTCGTGTTTACCGCCCTATGGGCCATGCATCGAATGTGGTACCCAAGTGACAACAACACACGAAGCCGACGTGTCAAGGCCTGTAGAAGCAGGGCACTTCATAAATTGTGAGGCGTCAAGACTCCGTCAAAAAATCGTGTTAGTTGAAGCGTTCGGCAGTCCGATGTCTTTTTGAACACCACCAAGCAAACATCACGATTTTCATATCCTGCATGGACTGCGTTCCAAAATCTACTTGATCTTACTCCAGGGTAAGAGATTTGTACCTTTGGGTTTGAAAACCTACCCCCCCCCCCCCCCCCCCTGTGTTATCACGTGACAGTACGCGACGGAGTAGCTCGGATCTATTTGGTAAGATTTCGAACACCAGCCCTTCTCTTTCCCGTTTTCGGGACCTGAAGCGATTGACCGACAGTCAACAGAGCTTGTGAGTGAGTGGCTCTCCGGACTCACGTGATGTACTCAAGGTGCCCGCGGAGAACACGGCCGAAATTTGACAAAAAAACATCCCCCCGGCAAAAAAAGAAAAAAGGAAGGAAAGCAATAACAGACGGAAGCGGACCGTTGTAGGACTTACGTCGGAGTCAACTCGCCTCACGATTTCTGAAGTATCCTGTTTGGACAGGCCTTCATGCTGTCGGTTGGTCGTGCAAAACGTATACATATGTACCCCTAATAGGGTACAACCGTACAGCCTGGCTTAGGGGGTAACTTCGCTCCCTGAAGGAGGCAACTTTAAGCCCTTTTGGGGCTAAGAGAACATGCCTCGGGGCTACTTTTACCTCCTTCTGGGGGTAAAATTACACGTTTTACCTTGTTTGGAGGGTAACAGCAAATGAAAAATTGTGAATGCTGAAGTCGCTGTGGTGAACGGTGAAGTCGCTGTGGTCGGGGCATCCCATCTCGTGTCTGATTTGGTTCCCATCGACTGTCTGGCTTCAGAGTGGCCCGCAGCAGAACAGGAGTCTGCTGCATTCGCCTCTGCTGCTGTGCCACCACCAGGATTGCGGCCGGCCACAACATGACATTTTTATGACGTCATCAGGCGGAAATCAAGGGACACTTTTGAAAAAGAGGTGAACACTCCAATCGGAGGCGCGCTCTATGATGCTATGGCCTATGGCAAAGCCGTTTACACTGAGAGAGTTTGGCCTTCTTAAGGAGATTTTGACAGCCTGGCCACCAGAGCAGCGTTGTCTGACAACCGGGCGATGACCACTTCCGTCCGTCATTTTGTGCCTCTGGCTCATCGGAACTCTATGCGATTTCTCAGGAATAAACACGACAAAAAAGTAACGCCATTTTGTGTAATCGCGAAATTCGCTGGTTCTAGCAAGCAAAAAGCTCCGCCCATTGGCCAAACTCTTTCAGTATAAACGGCTCTGGCCTATGACTATAGTGCCTGGAACGCGTCTCCGACTGGCGTGGTTACCGCGTCCAGAAAGGGGTTCTCTCGATTTCTGCCTGATGACGTCATAGAAGTGTCATGTTGTCGTCGGTCGCGATCCTGGCGGCGTCCCAACCGCTGCGGTCTATGTGGCAGACGCCTGTTCTGCTCCAGCGTCTCTAGGTCGCTCTACAGCTTGACAGTTCACGGAATCTTCGGCAGCCAGGATTTGGGACGCCGCAACGACATGCGGCACTGGCGTTCGCTCGTACTTTTTGCCTGTACTTCTGCGTTCAACTACCAGGATTGCAACCTCCGGCAGCATGGCAGGCGGGTGCCTGTGACGTCATTTCTTACTACGCCGGGACCACTTTTAATGCGTGTGAGGGAAATACACCAGTCGGAGACGCATGTTTGAAGCACCGTATACTGTGACTGCTAAATCGGCAAGCGAAATTCTTAGCCAGAAAGGGCGCTCGTGATTGGCTGGTGCCGCGCTTGACCTTGGCGACGGCCAATCACGGCGGTCCAATTCCTCGCCAACGTTTTCGCCAAGTGTCCAGATTAGAGCCCCTCCGCTGCATCATGGGATGCAGCGCAGCACTGGCTTTTAGTGCACGCACACTTGTACGGTACTCAAATACTCTACTCAAATTACTCTGTCCTAAATAGTTTTGGGATAACTTTGTATCTTACAAATACTTTCAGAAGTCAGTATTTAGTAGTCAAAACTATAAATACCCAGTGGCTTCACAAGGGTGGGGGGGGGGGGGGGGGGGGGACCGCCCCGGGTGCAGCGCTCAGGGGCGTGTCGCGGCGGGCTACCGCCCCGGGTGCCGCTGACCCTCGTGACGCCACTGTAAATACCTTCTGAGAACAACTAGTACTCACATCACAAGTTTCTAGTGCAAGTTAAGGCACGTTCGCAAAATGGTCTTGGCGTCTCGACATCAACACAGAAGCAAGAGGACATATCTTGAAGCCAATGTGGGAGGACATTATCATTGCGA